GACTAATTTCTTCTGGCCAGCTGTTACCACTGCCTCCAGTCTTCATGCTAAGCTAACCTGCTGCTATCCTACAGACTATAGAGAGTGGCATATTTCCCACAGTGGTGGAAAGTAACTAATTACATTTGCTCGAGTCCAATTTTGAGGTACTTTTACTTTAAGTATTTCAATTTAATGCTACTTTATACTATTTCCGCAGGAAATGTTGATTTTTTTTTTATTCCACTACTTTTATCTGACAGCTCGAGTTGCTGGTTACTGTTTTTTACAAACAGAACATATTATCAATGTATAAAATACTGTGCTATAGATTATTAAACCATCCAACAGTATATAAAGTAAAATGTGCTCCACCTCCATCAGCTGAAACATTACCATTTAGCTTACATTTGAAAACATCTATAATAATATTCCAATAATATGATATAAATGGAAATATCAAAAGGACCATTCTGTACCTTTACTTTAATACTTAAAGTACATTTTGCAGTTACTTGTAATTTTACTTAGTGGAAGTCTTGAATGTAGTTTTTCCAGAGAGGTATTACTATCTCCGGTGTCTCTGACCCATCAGATAATCACCCTTATCTCCAGTATTCACACTCAAGTTTACCTTTGACCTTGGCTCCTTTAAGGTTTCGACTCCTAAAGGCACTGACGTGAGTGTCCTTGCCATGTACCCCTGTGTGTGCCATTCCTTTGTGATTGATGAATACACACAACTTTGTTTATCTCACCAGAGCTCACAGTGATCTGCTCATGGGCTAAGGAAAGCCTGAAGGAAGGAAGGAGAGGAAAAGAAGTCATTCTTTCCAAGCCACTGAGGCCAGACCCGAGAGCAAGTTGTTTTGGGGGTAGCTTGCCCAACATGAGAGACGTCTATTGTCCGAGTTGGTCCAGAGAACGGGGGGCTTTTCAGTGTGTACTGGTATGGTGAGGGGGCTTGGGGGAAGAGTGGGAGAGAAATTTGAATTTCTGCTAAACGACGTCACAACAACATGGATGGTGACAAAGAGACACTTTGATAACTACATGGGCCAAGAAGTGAACATTGCTTCTCCATGGTGATTATATGTAATAGGGGGCATTAATCATAATAAATCCACCCACTGACATGTTTCTTCAGTGTATCAGCCTGGAATTACATTTTTGGTATTAAGAAGACAAAAAGAAGATGAATAAAAAAGGTTAATGAGCTCGGTTTAGTAATGCAACTTGTTATCTCTGTCTGTCTTTACTTGACACAACAGAAAAAATCCTACCGCAGTCTAACCCATGATCCTTTGCTGCATGTCATCCCCCCTTTGCTGTCCATCTTAAGCTTCCCTATCAGATAAAAAGGCAAAAATAAA